TTTTATGGTGCCCATACCCACTGCACCAACCAATTTTTTCTTTGTTAAAAATAATCTTAGTGGTGTTTGAGGCATTTTTATTAGGGAAGTTTTGTTTTTTGTTCTTTTTAGAGGGGCAGCTGGCCACTATAGGGATCTGAACCTTTGACCTTGGAGTTATCAACACTGCACTCTAACCAGCCAGTGCATTAGTGAAGTTTTGAACAATGCTTAATTTGTTTTGGCAAAAGCAGGAAAGTCATAGAATACTACTAGTCTAACATGGCAAACTGAAATGACTGCTCTCCTCATTGTTACTATGAAAGCTTCTGCAGGATGCTAGGTCCTAAACGGTAGGTAGTAAATAGTTCCCTATGACCAATGCAGGCATGTCTGTCTGGTCTCTCCTGGACTTCACCTTGGTTATAATAGTCACTGGGCAGCTAGTAGTTTCCGTGTTTCTCCCATCTGACTCAGAGGGTGATCAGTCATGTCCTTTTCGTGCTGCAGTTCAGACACTGGGCGATTCTTAACTGTTTAAGGGAGTCGTGGTCCTGTCTTCTCTGAAAAGGTAAAAGTTCTCAAAAGGATGTATGTACTATAACAAGAGGCTCTAAAAATATGGATGGATAAGTTGGAAAGGTGAATTTTAGGCCATTAAGATGTTTTTAAAAATTGGTAAGGAAAGTTAACCATTATTTCCTGTTTTAATAATGTGATGTTGCAACATCTTAGTGTAGGTTTTCTGCTTAGCCAATTTGTGTATTTAAACTTTGTTCCTGAAAGTTCAGATTGACAGGCCAGCAGCTGAGCTTGAATATAAGCAGAGAAAATGCAACTCAGAAGTTTATCAGGCTCAGCACAGTGATTCCAAGGTCAGGATTTCCTAATATGGACATCTTCCAGTGAGCTCTTTTGGTTTAGAAAAATGTCTTGGTTTGCATGGATATACTTCTGTATTTAAAAAAATACAAGAATTTAAGGGCCTGGGTGGTTAGCTCAGCTGGTTAGAGTGTGGTGGTGTTGATAACACCAAGGTCCAGGGTTCAATCCCTGTACCAGCCAGCCTCCAAAAAAAGAAGAAAAGAAAAAACAAGAATTAAGACAAAAGAGGAACCCGTCATGAATCTGACATTTAGGTAAATCTGCTTTCCTTTCCACACTCTTCAGCAAACTAAAGGCTTAAGGAAAACCAGTTTTTATTGATGAGGTAGGTTAGGCATTGAGGACATCTAACAGGAAAGGTAAGTTTGTCTCACCAAGCATGGCTTATATATGAAATGCATTCTGAGTGGGGTCAGAGTAATTAAAAGTTTATTTTTCATCTCCAGGTGAGGCAAAGTATAATGTATAATCAATATATTTTGTTAATTTTTGTGGTTTTCATGTCTGTTTGACTGGGAGCATGCTCTCCAACCTGTGCGTTGAGATTATTACAAAATCTGAATTGCTAATGAAGGTCCCTGGCAAGACAGAACCTGTGCCGTGTTCCAGGGAAGCTTAATGTGGTCACACAGGATGTCTCACCACAGCTTATTGCCAGTGCCAGGTACTTATAAGTTGCATGTCTAGACTCACACAGGCTCTTGGATCACTGTCTTGAAGGTGTGCAAGGTTTCAGCAATTGGGCATCTGTGTTTGTGTCATCTGTTATGTTTGAAAAGCTGGCATTGATATCCAGCTTTCTCTTTGTGCCTTTGAACATGACTTCATAAATCGGTGGGATAAAATTATGTCTGTTTCATAATATTGCCACCGAGATAGAGATTAGGTCTGATAAATATCCAGCTTTCTCTTTGTGCCTTTGAACATGACTTCATAAATCAGTGGGATAAAATTATGTCTGTTTCATAATATTGCCACCGAGATAGAGATTAGGTCTGATAAAAATGCGTTCAGTCTGTGAACATGTCTTTCCTCCTTCCATTTCTCAACTCCCACTGGCATTAGGATAATGTATTCTTTTTATTTATTAAGCATTTACCGTCCTCTGTGTGCAGAGCCCCTGGCTAAGTGCTGTGAGAGAGAGAAAGGTGAATCAGATTTCCTGCCTACAAAGAGCTTTGAGTCCACTGAAAAAGAAAATGATCAAAGGCGGAAAGTGAGACTGCATGTCATGTATTATTCAAAGGGAGGAAATACTTCTTTCAAATGGCAAGTTTCATAGGCGAGGAAGAATTTGTCATGGGCCTTGAAGAATATTTGTACAATTTGTATATGCAGTGACAGAGAAAGGGATTTAATAGAAGAGAGCATCACAGACAAAAGGGTGTGGAGCCAAGGAACTCGTGGGAAATGTTTAAGGAACTTTGCAGAAGCAAATTTTGGTAAGAACAAAGGGACTTTGTTAGGCAGTAGTAAGAAAGTCAGAAAAGTCAGCAGGGACCATGTAGGGAGGGACTTTAAATTTCAGGGAAAGGAATCTGTTCGTATGATTGGTATGGGAAGCCGTCCAGCATTTTTCAGCAGAGGAGGAAGTATTGCCTTGAAATCTTATGACAGTCCTTGATGTTAAAGATTTATTAAATATAATCTATTGCCTCAGTTTTTTCCTGCATTATAAGAACCGCTATATACCAAATTACTTATTTACAGACCATCTTCATCTAGACCAGGATTTCTCAATCTCAGTCCAATTGACATTTTGGGTCAGATAATTCTTCATCAGTTGTGGAACTGCCTTGTAGGATGTTGAACAGCGTCCATGTCCTCTAACCACGAGATGCCAGGAGCACCTCCTTGCCCTCAGTTGTCCACAACTGTGTCCAAACATTGCCGCATGTACCCTGGGGGGAAAATTCTTCCCCATTTGACTTTGATGTTTTAAGTGTGTGCTCTAACCAACTGAGCTAAGTGGCCAGCCCTACAATTCATCCCCACTTGAAAACCACCTGTCCAGACTCATATATTGAATTCTCTTGGTGTCCTGGGTATTGTTAGACTCTTAGATTGACAAATCCAGGAGTCCTTTAAGCATTGGATCTATTAATGCCTTAGAATTTTGTACTAGACATGCATCTATCTGGAGATTAAGGTATTCCATGTGTGTTGGGGTAAGAGAGCTGAACTGGGCATCAAAAGAGCTGCGTTCTCATCCTGGCTCTGCCACAAGAGGTTGTGTGATTTGGGGGAGTCCCTTTGCTCAAGATTCTGATTCCTCATCTCTAGCACGACCAGTGTGACCTCTAAGGCTCTTTCTAGCTCTGATTCTGTGTCCTGATTTCAAATGGATCTCAGGGCTTTATTGTTTTACATTTTTAGAAAGTTAGCACATGCTATATTAACCAACAAGACTGACTAAAGTATTGGAAAAGAAAAATAAGTGTTTTGGGCTCATTGATTTATTGTCCTGTAATATTATAATTTTTTTCTTTTCAGATTATTTGAAGAATCTCATAGAAGATGATGGAGATTACAGAGACACTCAAGGTAAATAACTTTTGTTATTTGGTCTCATATATTGCAGAAGTGTTTATATTATGTTTATTTAGACCTAGAAAGTAAAAATGAACTGGTAAAAAACCCATGTACAAAACTCTTATTTATTTGTAAGAAGACTTGAAGCCTTTTAAGAAACTCTATTTGGGGCAGATTAATATAGAAATAGACAAAGTGATAAAGTGGGGCTAGTGGCAGGTGAGATCATAGGAACAAGAGGGATCCAGGCCAGCCCTCTGTGAGAACCAGCCTCCTGGGGGAGTGGACCCAGCATGGGTCAGGAAGCTTCGTCTTCCTGGGCTTGGTTACTCTGTGCCCTTGGCACATTCAGTGTCTCTAGATGTTCATTTCTTTGTCTTTTAAAAACAAACATTGAAACAGATGGTCCTTTCAAGCTTTAAAATTACGAGTCTGTGAAGTGACCGAACTACAAATCAGGGATAATGTCTAAAATAGCATATTATTCTGGGATTGTTTAATGCTTGGGCATTAGCCTTCCACCCTTCCACCCCTTACCCCTGGTAGTACTTAAGGGAAATAGTCCATTACAACACAAGGGACTCATTGACATTCGTGGGATAATCAGAGTTTCTTTCTCTTACATAGTTTCTGTCTCTCCCTCCTTCACAGCACACAAATACAGGATTAATTCTATTCGGGTGTTTTTTTCTATTCATTCCCCGAGCTACCTCATTCAAATGTAGCAGGTATATTCTTAGTTCTAATCTCCAGAAACACATTAAACAAGTCCATGTCAACCCTATTAATTTTATGAGTTTTGTTCACATTCTTGTGCATCTTTTACAGTTTCAGATTAAAAAGTTGAACAGGTTTTTAACCCATTTTGTAGAGATTCTTATTCATTCTCTTTATTTTACTTCCCCTCCTCCCCTTCTCTATTATCTTCTATTTGCAAGTGTTACACTGTTTAAAGGAAAAGTTTGGGGTGGGGTGGTCTGACATGTTTTCTGACTTCAGTTGAACATACAGTGTAAGTGATGAAAAAGTTATAATATCCATCAAAAAAGAACAAAGCATATGGCTTTAAAGTAAGATGCACTGAGCAGTACAGAATCATTTGGAAGAAAGGGAAAAGTAGGACGGTTGAAGAGGCAGGGAAGCTTGGCTTAGAGAGCAGTGGGACTGACAGTGTGTTGAAGGGTGGGCGAGAGGAAGAGTGGGCATTCCAGAGCAGAGTCTCTCTCCTGAGGATAAAAATTGTAGGTGGGACTTTGTGAATAGGAAGGAAACATCTGTCCCAGGTCCCAGGGCTTCTGCCTTCAAGGAAAGTAAGTTATTAGTTCCATTTTACAGATAAAACAAATATAGGGCCAGAGATAAAGGAGCTGATTTAAAGGAAATTACACACTTCAGCAAAGACACAGATTAGAATCATCACTGAACAGTGAGGTGCGCTCTGTGGCCAGAGGCAGGGCAGGCAGGTGGTGAGCAGCTGCAGATGAGATTGTCTGAGGGTGAGGCAAAGTGAGACAGACCTTTGAAAGGTAGGCAGAAGAGTTAAAGGAATAGAGTCGTCAGGGCCTTTTAAAGAGATGATGTGGGGAAAGTAGAATTGCAGAATGGATTGGAGAAGGCGGAGCTGGGAGGCCAGGTGACCATATGGTAGCAGCTTTGTCCTTCATCCATTCATTAAATTGTAAGGCTTCTCTGCACTGCCCTCTGGGAAGTCCAACAGGCTAGAAAGCAAGAAGTGTGTCCAAGGTAACCTTTTAAATAGCTGCCATGAAGAGAGTGCCAGGTGCAGTAAATTCTGATATATAGTTGGGGTCCCTATGTAAGGAAAAATACTGCTTTACTTTAACAACAGTAATAATAATACATATTTAAAGAATACAGAGACCTCCAGGGTTGGCACCAGAAAGAGAATCTCTTTGTAGGTTATAGTAGGTGGACTAAAGAAACCTCCATCTTTTTGTAGAAGTTGATCTTTTTTTTTTTTTTAAATAGTCCTTTTGGTGATGACTACTGTCACTGCCACAGCAGCCTCAGGAGGGCATGCTTCCCTCATGAATTCCCCGCTAGTTTTTCTCAGTGGCAATGCCACTGTCATATTGTACAGGATAATCTTTTGTGTGTGGGTTTCTAATGAGATTTACAGGGTATTACATTTCTGCCTCCTATCCACTGAGGGCCAGTGGACCTTCCCAGTCACTGAGACAGACAAAAATTGTCTTCACACATGTCCCTAGGGGAGCAGTACTGACTTGGGTTGAAGATAACTGCAGCCCTAAAGCAGACAAAAAGCAGACGTTTTCCTTTATATCTAGTTACAAAGATGGCAAGACTGGAGCATTCAAAAACACTTTCCTAAAGACAAGAGGTCAATAAGAATAGGACAGACAGTCCCACGAAGCTAAATAACCCAGTTCAGAAAAGGACGCTTGTGATTTCCGAAGGTCTAGTACACTTTTATGTAGCATTTCTCCCATTTCTAATTCACGCCTCTTGGAATCAGACTAAGAGAAGGAGGCTGAGCCTCTTAAATACTCATTTCTCATAGTTCTTGTTTCCTTTATCAGGATCCTTTTCTCTCACGATCCTTCTCTCCTAAAACAGTTTATACTGGTGAAATCCTATCCTTATCCTGTAAACTTCAACAGGATGATCACGTCTCAGCACAAAACACCCCTGACATTCATGCTATTGATAAACATGGTCTACAACGTCTCTTTAGAGTTTCTTTGGCTCGTTTTTTCCCCAAGTATTGTTTTTGCCTGTTCTTCTTTGGTTTTGCCTTCATCGAATGTCCCCATCTGTATCTGCCTACTTACAGTCAACCAAGCTCCTGGAGGGGTTGGTTGCTATGAGCTAGCTATCTTGTTGTCTGGAATTGTTTAATGTTGCAAACTGCTTCAGTAATAATGACCAAATGCATCTTCTGTTCCTACATGTTTTAGATGCCCTTGCTGTTGTTATAGAGGTAGCCAACCATGCTAATGACACCATGAAGCAAGGAGTAAGTATCTTTTTTTTTTTTTTTGGGGGCCAGCCGGTACAGGGATCTGACCCCTCGACCACACTCTCTCACCAACTGAGTTAACTGGCCAGTCCAATGAATAAGTGTCTTGATATTAGTGGCTTGTGAATTATTGACCTTGGAAGCCTAGGCCTTCACATTCTCTACATTATCTTTCTGTAGGACAACTTTCAGAAACTCATGCAAATTCAGTACAGCTTAAATGGACACCATGAAATAGTACAGCCTGGACGGGTAAGTGTTTTAGATGGCCTTTTGCAAATTTAAAACAATGCATTTAGATACCATCTGTAGCTGTTTTTCATTACAGTTTTGAAAATAGGGTAATTGTTACTGTTACTCTTCATTGACCCAAGCTGGATCTCTGTATCCGTTCAAAACATTCATGATGTAAGTCACTGTGACCAGAGGTCCAATTCAATTAGGAGAATGGCAAGGGACCCCACAGAGTATCTGATTTAATGGGATCGTTTTACTGTGTAATACCAACTGACCTCACACAGCTTTGAAAACAATTTCATTTAAAATCTTAATGTAAGAGAAGATTATGAGGGGAGGGAGAAAATTAGTATTTTGATGCTGCTCATAAAGCACAAATATGGCCTAGGGAATGAATGCAGGAAAATTGCAAAATGCAATTGTCTGGATGTTGGATGTGCTTCAAGATCAAGTGTACACACTCAGTCAATTACGTGTCAGTCCACACAGTACCCCTGAGGCCAGTATGGGATTTATGAAATGCTCATTTGTCCGGTTCCTAAATGACTTACAGGGTTTCAGAAGAAACTTACTATAAAAAGTCACAAGGAAACTATGTCTCCCTGGACCCCACAAAAAAAATTCTGGGGGAAGAAAGTTGAAAAGGAAATTATATGCATATTGTCATTGTGTTATGACGGTAGGACTAAATGTGTATTTGTTTGGATGAATCAGGTTTTTCTCAAAGAAGGAACTCTGATGAAGCTATCTCGGAAAGTCATGCAGCCCCGAATGTTCTTCCTGGTAAGAGGCCACGTGTAGTTCTAATTGTCGGAGGCAGAAATAATTGCTTGACGGGAGGAGACATTTATATGTGGCAGATAAGCTTAGCACATTCAAATATGAGTTTTTTAGTGGCCTCTTTGACTTATATTGCTTATTTGCATTTTGAGTATAGGAAATACAAGTAAAGTCTGTTAGGATGCATAACCAGGAAATTATTTCCTTTTGAAATTTAGTTTATTTTGTTTATACTTTGGAGGAATTATCTTAATCATTCATTTTAGACAGACTGTAATACTTTAGTGGGATTTAGAATTCAGAAAACATTAAATCTGTTACAGAATGTGGAAAGGAAGCACATTTTCCAGAAATTGACTTTTTAATAATATTCTAATAAAACATTCTTTGTGGTTCTAGTGTATATAAGCAGAAAATGAGTATTTTATACAGAGAGCTGTTAGGTATTGTTTTTTATTTTTATATCTTATCGATATCCTTGTAGCTGCCATTTGTTTATTTTGTCTTATGAAATGTTTTTACTTTCAGTTTAATGACGCCCTGCTGTATACAACACCAGTGCAGTCTGGGATGTATAAACTGAACAACATGCTATCATTAGCTGGAATGAAGGTCTGTGCATCTGTTGTGTTTTTTTTTTTTTAACCCATGTGTAGAGAAAAATCCCTAAGAAAATCATCTTTCTCACATCCTTAACTTTTCTTTCTGTATGTTACTGTTCATGCATTCGTTTATTCATTCATGTAGTCGTTTATTCACTCATGCATTAATTTATTCATAGGATATTTATTGAGAACTAATACAATCGATACATGGTAATAGGCTTGGTGGAAACTATGAAGATGAGTCGAAGCATAATTCTTTTTGTTTCCACCCCTACTCTAACCTCTCCCCAGGGACATTGCAACTGGTTGGGAAGATAATACACTACACCTAAATACCTACAAAGTAGACAGCAATAAATATCACTATAAAGTCACAGTTAAAGTTTTTGGGAGTGCAGAATAGAACATGCATCTTTTTATGGGACTGTTAAAGGGATTGCAGCTTTTGATAGGCAGTTAGAAAAGAGGGAGAGTTGAGGAAGTCTTTTTGGAGAAAGAGCCAGTGAGCCTTAAAGTACAGGTCACATCTGGCCCTGCTGAGATGTCGGGGAAAGGCCTGGAGGTGGGAAAGTTGGGCTTCGGTGCAGGTATTGAAATTCATCTGGAGCGTAGAGCAGGGGATGGAGAACGGTAATAGATAAAGCTGGATAGGAAGGCTGGTTGTGGATGTCAACAGCCAGGGTCATTGAGCAACTTCAGCTACAGTGTGGAGAAGGAATTTTTGGTAGGATGTGCTTGTTCAAATTATTGTGCTTTCTTCCAGGTCAGAAAACCCACCCAAGAAGCATATCAGAATGAATTAAAGATTGAAAGTGTAGAACGTTCCTTCATTCTCTCAGCCAGGTAAATTTTAAAGTATATATAGATGAATTTTTGCCAGTATAACAGAGTCAGATATCACTGGCACTATTTAGATATTTAGGTGAGCTATTAGACTTTTTTTCCTTCCTCCTTTTCTTTCGCAATACCATGCAGTTTACTCTTAATTTACCATGGGCAATTTGCTGTCTCTGGAGTTGTCATTCATTTTTTCCCCCTTATGGTTAAGATACCACACATGCTCTGTGTTAGCCATTCAGGGAGGGAAAATAGTTCCTTCTCAAGTTTTATACTGACTTCTGTCTCTGCACTTCCATCTCAAGGAAGTAACTTTCCACAAGGCTGCCAAGATACTTTAGAACAGGATGAAAAATCACAGTGTTGCCAAGAAGGCACTAGAAAAACAGAAAATATGCCTTTCATAAATGAGGCTCATGCAATAATAGAGGTGCAGAATTGGCTTTCACAACACACTGGTTTTCACAAAAATCACTGTGCAGAGAATAATTGTGCCTTATTTCAGGGGTGCGCAGGGAGGTCATATAGAAAACATTTTATGTATTGTTCTTTGAATATGGTATATGGATCCCTTCACTTGTCTTCTTTTTAGTATACTGGTACTCAGCGACGAGCAGTGATTACCAACAGTGATGGTTACAGAGTTAGAGTAAGTTTCGTGTTGAGAAATGTTCATTGTTTAGGGACTGGCATACAGGACAGCTGTTGGGGAAAGGGACCATCTAATGTCCATCATCCATTCAACAGGTATTTACTGGGCACTGACCCTGTGCCAGGCACTGTTCAGGAGCTGGGGGTGCAAAGTTTTGTTCCAGAGGGTGAGATATACAATAATCAAGTACAAATATATATATAATTTGAGGTATTGAATGTTATGAAGATAAATAAAGTAGGCTGAGCAAATAGAGTGATGGGATAGGGCTCTCTCTAAGGAGAAGCAGAGACCAGGAAGAAGTAAGTCCCAGGTATAAAAATCGCATGAAGGAGGAAGTAAAAAGTTTAGTATGTTAAAGGAACAGCAAGTCCAGTACAGTTGGGACTGACTGCTCCAGGGAAGGGTCAGTGCAGGTGGGGTGTGGGGGAGGTCTTTAGCCCGAGAGCCTCAGGAGCCACTGAGATGTTTATACAAAGGAATGATGTGATCAGATTGGCTTTTTTTTTTTTTTTTTTTTTTTTTTAAACCAGGTATAAAAATCGCATGAAGGAGGAAGTAAAAAGTTTAGTATGTTAAAGGAACAGCAAGTCCAGTACAGTTGGGACTGACTGCTCCAGGGAAGGGTCAGTGCAGGTGGGGTGTGGGGGAGGTCTTTAGCCCGAGAGCCTCAGGAGCCACTGAGATGTTTATACAAAGGAATGATGTGATCAGATTGGCTTTTTTTTTTTTTTTTTTTTTTTTGCATACCAGTGGTAAACTATACAGATTGGCATTTTTAAAGCATTATCTGGCTGCTGCGTGGAATATGGTTTGGGAGATGGACTACAGGAGGTGATTAATTGGACTCAGAGGTTAAGAGAGTGAGGTTATGCAGAGACTCCAGCTTGCACACTGTATTGGGTGGTGATGCCATTCACTGTGATGGGGAGAACTGAGGGAGAAGCAGCTTTCAGGGAAAAATCAGGAATTTCATTTCAGACCTGTGTATGGAGTGTGAGGTCCCTATGCAACATCAAAATGCAGCCATCAAGGAGCAGTTTAGATAAGGATCTGGATGTCAAAGGAATCTTGGGCTAGAGGCATGTATGTGGGCATCATCAGCTTAGAGATAACCTAAGCTAGGGGATCAAATGAGGGTACAGAGAGACTGCAGAGTTCCCTGTCAGACTCACTATTCTTCAGGTCCCAACTTTGTCATCACCTCTGCAAAGCCCTCCCTGCTACTTAGGCAAGGGAATTCACTACTTCCGTGTCTTTTATCTACCTTACATTTGTTATATCATATGTTAATTACTTGTTTCCCCTCCATTCGGTGTGAACCCTCACAAGTGAGCTTTATTTGTTGTGTCCAGTTGCTGGCTTACTTCCTGGTGCTCGGTAAGTAGGCTCCTAGTAAATGTTACTCACACGAATCAAAGTGATGCGGCCTTTCAGCATCTCACAGTTAGCACAAGTAGTGAATAGTGTGGCAAGGTCTAATATACCAGAAATACCTTCTGTTGGAGGGTTTTTCTCCTTGGTAATTCATTCCAGTCAATGGGAAATGGTACTTACTTGACACAAATTTGCTTTCTGGTAATGCACCCCTTCTATAAAGAAAAGAATGCTTGGCTTCACTATTTTTTGATCTGAAGAAGTTGCTGATCCTTCTGCTAATACAAAAGAAGACCTAACATTTCTTCACTGGATGCTGCACGCAGATGTGTGTGGTCTGTGAAAAATGTGTTATCAAGAGCTGGTAAACACTGTCTTGGCAGAACCCCACACAAGAGAGAGCCAGGAATGATTAAATGAAAGAACAGCATATGTGACATGATTTGCACAGTCGAATCACATTCCACATGCTCCCAGGGCTCCAGAAAAATCCAACAGCAATTCTCAAATTAGCCATCTGCTCCTCCGCTTTCTGTTACTTCTTCCAGTAAAAAGCAGGGGAGGGAGGGAGAGACAGTGATATTTTATGAATGTGTGCTTGGAAGCTTGAGCATGTGTTCTCAGTGTAGTTCTTCAGAGAACACGAAGAGGCTGGCAGTGACCTGGTGGTGAAGGGTTCAATCCTTAACTACACTTAGGCTTGATACCAGCTTATCATTTAATAGCCTGTTGTCTGTAAAGCAAATGATCTAACATTGCTAATCTTTCATTTTCTTATCTGTAAATGGTGATGGTGGGTGGTGATGTTGTAGTGGGGGTAAGATCCGATATATGTTCCCTGGGATAGCTGTAAGGATGAGACATGATGACATTTGCAAAGCGTTTAGCACAGTTGGCTGACATGTAGTACCTGTTAAATGGTAGCTGGTTTTATCAGTAATGCTAGAATGGTAGAGGTAAATGAGGCAGGTTTTGTTTGGTTTAGAAAGGGGTTTCTTTTTTATTTTGTTCCTTGTATATAATGAAAATTTTAGAAATATACTAGTTTTGGGGCCGGCCCAGTGGCGCACTGCTATAGTGCGCCGCTTGGGAAGCGCGGCGGCGCTCCCGCCCGAGGGTTCGGATCCCACATACAGACCGGTTCCCACTCACTGGCTGAGCGAGGCGCGGGAGCAACACTTAGGGTTGCGATCCCGTTGCCAGTCCCGGTCTGGTACGGGGACGACACTGAGGGTTGCGATCCATTGCCGGACACGGAAAAAGACAAAAAAAAAAAAGAAATATACTAGTTTTTAAATTTTCTTTGTAAACTGGATTTCTACCTTTTTATATCCATATAAATGAATATTCTAAATGGTATTCAGCCATTTAGTAGGGAGGTACATTCCTGAGAATGATTATTATGGGGAAGGTGAATGGTTTTTATGTATCTTCTTGTCCTGCTCTGGGTTCTTCAAAATATAGCAACATATGCCTACTATGTACCATTATTAATGATATAATTATTTATTTTAAAAATATTATTTAAAAGTTTGAATGTGCTTCAAATTAGAGTGAATAATACAGTGAACTGCATATTCAATCAACCAAACTCAAAAATCAAGATATTCCCATCAATTTTTCTGCTTTGCCATTGTCTAAGTTATTTTAAAACAAATTGCTGGGCCGGCCCGGTGGCGCACTGGAGAGTGCGCCGCTTGGGAGCGTGGCGGCGCTCCCGCCGAGGGTTCGGATCCCACGTGGAGACCGGTTCCCGCTCACTGGCTGGGCGCGGTACGGGCGCAACACCGAGGGTTGCGATCCCGTTGCCGGTCCCCGGTACAGGCGTGACACCGATAGTAATCTAAAGATATTTGGTATTCTGTGCTATAAATTAGTATTTGAAACTTGATTCCTTGGAATATTTTTAAACTCTAGGGTTATGTCTTAGGAAACTCCATGGCTATATAAATAATCATAATTATTAATTGAGTGAATATCCCTTAAACCAACAAAAATACTTCCAAATTTAGGAGACTTAAAAAGCTATTTAAGGGGCCGGCCCGGTGGCGCACTGCTACAGTGCACTGCTTGGGAGCGCTGCGGCGCTCCCGCTGAGGGTTCGGATCCCACATACAGACCGGTTCCCGCTCACTGGCTGAGCGAGGTGCGGGCGCGACACCGAGGGTTGCGGTCCCATTGCCGAACACAAAAAAAGACAAAAAGGAAAAAAAAAAAAAGCTATTTAATAGAAAGCAGTACTTTTGGAAAGAAAAAAAAACATTGTATTTGCTAAAATGTCATGGGTTCTCTATTGCCTGCTCTGGTTATTTGTCCACATAAACCTCAGAGCTGCTGCTTTTGACTAGTATTGTTGGAGGGTGTTGAGATCTGTTGCCATGGGAGAAGGAAAAGAAGTAAGAAAAAGGCAAAGAATAAAAGCTGACATCTGGTTGATGGAACCTTCTTTTGCCCCTAACAGTTCTGCCACAGAAAGGGATGAATGGCTCGAAGCCATTTCCAGGTCAATAGAAGAGCATGCCAAGAAAAGAATCACCTTCTGTCCTAGTAGGAGTCTGGATGAGGTATTGTCTTTGCCACCTTACTTTTTTCCAGTGCATTTTAAACAGGTTTTACCTTAAAGAAACATTTCACAGGGGTTTGGGAAAGCAACAAAGGTTTCAGAGAACGATTGGAAGTATGTGTCTCATTTCAAAGCTAAATGTTTATCCTTCTAGGAATGTCTAAGGGCAAGTCTGTGATAGCATATAGTGTATTCATATTTTTTCCTAGTTATAATACTTCATCATAGAAAATTTAGAAATTATAAAGTAGTTTAAGGAAGAAACTAATCAGGTGTCATTCACTATCACAGACATCTTTTAAAATTAGTTTTGCATTAAAGGATTTTTTTTATGTAGTTCATCTTAATATCCTGAGCACATGAAAAATATAATAGCCCATATTTCATCCCACGTCCTTAATGATACTGTGAGACGCCACTGCCAAATAAAAAGGCTTGATTCTGTAGCAAGCAGTGCCCAATGGAGATGATCAGAAGTCATTCCTCTCCTGCAGGCAGACTCAGAAAATAAAGAGGAAGTTAGTCCCCTTGGATCAAAGGCTCCCATCTGGATTCCTGATACCAGAGCCACAATGTGTATGATCTGCACAAGTGAATTTACATTGACCTGGAGACGACACCACTGCCGGGCCTGCGGAAAGGTTGGAGAGGAAAATACCATCTCCCTTGTGATTTTTACTATCTCTAGGCTCTACATAGTAAGGAAGCATATCCCCCCGCATAAACCATTGTAGGAAAAAAAAATTACACACCCACAAAATAGTGGATGATGTTTTCTCTAGATATGCAGGGGTGGGTGGAATCTTGTTAGGGAACTTCTCCCCTTCCACCCCAAAGTTACTTTAGAATGTCAGTAGTAGGTAACTCTCAATCAAAAATAAAAACTAACACAGGTTTCAGTCTGTTACTGGCCAGCTGCCAACAAAAAAAAAAGAAATAAAAAACCAGAAACTAACAAATCCAAAATTAAATAGACTCACATTTTAGAGCTAATTATTGAAACTAGATACTAAGTATCTAGATAGTATTTAGTAGGGGGAACTTTCATTGTTGAAGTTATTCCTAGTGAAGTTGCTAAGCCTTGATGCCCTCATTAGTAAATGAGCATGGTAACAATGACATCAAAGTTAATATAAAAATTAAATGAGGTCCTATTTAGAGAGCATTTCGTACAGAGCCAGGTACTCAATAGAAAAGCAGAGAAGTGGTCATTGCTGCAGTAGTGATGATGGTTATGATGACGACAATGATGAGCAATACAGCTAACAGAATTAAACTGCATGCCATGCATTGTTCTAAACATTTTGCATATATTAATTCCTTTACTATATTATTATCTTTTTTATTTTTTTTGGCAGCTGGCTGGTATGGGAATCTGAACCCGTGACCTTGGTATTAGAAGGCTGTGCTCTAACCAACTGACCTAACTGGCTAGCCTTTACTATATTATTTTATGTAGTAAGCACTCACTAATAATCTGTGGACTTTTCATCGTTCAAGAGTGGTTCTGTGCATTAGTTCACTCCATGCCCAAACTCCATAGTTAATATTGAGATTAAGTGAGATTCAGTGACTATGAAACGGTTTCATAAAGTGGATAGCACTATAAATTGTAACATACCGTATGGTTTGAAACAAAAGTCATTCTAAATGAGATAATTTCAATGTGTTTTCAGATTGTGTGCCAAGCTTGTTCATCAAATAAGCATGGCTTAGATTACCTGAAAAACCAACCAGCAAGAGTATGTGAACATTGTTTCCAAGAACTGCAGAAATTAGGTAATATATAAATAAAGATTTAACCAAAAATTCCTTTATTCCACAGATGCTTTCACACACCCTTCTGAAAGAGTCATCATTGGTGCATTAGCATTATGATTGTTGATACTTGCCTCAAAATTTGTATTAAGTTTCCTTAACTCATATTTTGTGGTAATTCCATGAGAGGTTGGACAGAAATTTGTTTTTACCCTGTGAAAAAGGTTTTGCTAAGAAAACTAATTGACTGTGGAAATATAATTACAGGGTGAAATGTTTAAAACAATTGAAAAAGTTTAACTTGCAAGTAGTTTTGAATTTTCTTTTTTTTTTTTTCCCTTTTTTTGTCTTTTTTACTGACCGGTAACGGGATTGCAACCCTCAGTGTTGCGCCCGTACCGGGGACCAGCAACGGGATCCAGCAACGGGATCGCAACCCTCGGTGTTGTGCCCGCACCGCGCCCAGCCAGTGAGTGGGAACCGGTCTCCACGTAGGATCCGAACCCTCGGCGGGAGCGCCGCCGCGCTCCCAAGCGACGCACTCTCCAGTGCGCCACCGGGCCGGCCCTGAATTTTCTAGTTTCACACAACAATGTGCTCATTACAAATCATCTATCTATAAAGTAATCCTCTGTGAAATATATTGGGTGGCACTTTGACTAATTCTAGTCACTTGGACTGATTTAGGGAAGTTTTATTGTACATCTGAATGTGCAGCTTTTTGACCAAATACAAAATGATACTTCGTATCTTCCTACTCATTATTTGCAGGTATCCTACATTTAAAGTGAATGCAATAATAATAATAATGATTATAATAAAGTGAATGCAGCTAGCAAGGCTGCACAAGTCTATATTTTGTGAAGGGCTCTTTAGTTAAATTCCTGAAACCTATAGGTTCTAATTTTAAAAAGTCTGTCCTTCATTTCTATGAAGAATAGCTTTTCAGTAGCAAATAGTAATAGCTAAGTGAATAAAACTAGATGACATGCTATTTCAGAATCTATACATTTATGCATGAATAGTTTATTGTATACATTTTCCAAAAAGACACACCAATGTATTTCTTTGCCAGCCTTTCTGTTCCTCACTTAGTTGTCTGGGTATATAGTATAAAGTGTCAACATTCAGAATTCATCTTTGAATCCTTCCTCATTACCCACACTTATTTGGTCAGTAAATCTTGTCAGTTTTATCTCTGAAAATCTGTCTGTGTCTTGATTTCTCCATCTCAGCCCTAATAAGGCCTTTATTTTCTCTTCTGGACTACTGTGATAATCTCCTAGCAGGTTTTCCTGCTGTAAATCCTTTCTCCTTGCTACTGCCAGGTTTATTTTTCTAAATTTAAACTGTTCGTGTCGCTCCCCAACCTAAAAAGCCAAAACAACAGTCCAGGTACCTTAGAACCAGCCCTTTTTTCCCCAGCCTCAATATTCTGTTCCCCAAATAGGTGATCTAATATCACCCTTCTCTGCCTTTGCTCGTGCTGTCTGTGTACACTGTTCTTTCTCCTTGTTTTTACCTGGCAAACTCCTACTTAGGCCTTAGTGGCCAACTTAAACATCTCAGTCTTTTCATCACCCTTCTCTGCCTTTGCTCGTGCTGTCTGTGTACACTGTTCTTTCTCCTCGTTTTTACCTGGCAAACTCCTACTTAGGCCTTAGTGGCCAACTTAAACATCTCAGTCTTTTCCCAGCTTTGTCTGTGTACACTGTTCTTTCTCCTCGTTTTTACCTGGCAAACTCCTACTTAGGCCTTAGTGGCCAACTTAAACATCTCAGTCTTTTCCCAGCTTTCCCTGAATCTCTCGGTCAGTATTAACTGCTTCCTCACCTGTGTCCTTTAGCCTCTTCTCTAGTGCTTTGTTCATTGTAATGTTACTATTTGATCTAGTATCTAGACACTGAAAAACATTAGTTTTGTTTTGTTTTTTTTTTAAGTTGGTAGTACCTTCACATGGATCAGAATTCTAGGGACATAAAAGGGTAATCCTTTTACATGGTTTAAAGTTCAAAAAATATAAAATCTAGATAATGGAAAGTCTTCCTCCCCACACCTCCTACCTGTCTATCTTTTTTCCCTAGGGCCATCAGTGACATCAGTTTCTTGAGTGTCCTTTCACGGATATTTTATGCAACAATGCTTATGGAGTTGAATTAAATTGAATTGCAGAATGCTTACCATTGGCTACATTAATGTACCTGATTTCTTTTAGATGACCAGCACTCTCCTAAGATTGGATCTCCTGGAAATCACAAATCTCCTTCAAGTGCCTTATCATCAGTCTTACATAGTATTCCATCAGGGAGGAAACAAAAGAAAATCCCAGCTGCTCTTAAAGAAGTAAGTGTTTCCATTAAACTTGTAATGTGATAGAGGCTGAATTATTCATGTGCTTATAATACACTGTTTTTCTTTCATGCAGGAAGATGTCATTTCCTACTACTATTAAGATATGAATTTTAATACTGGTGATGAATGTAGCTTGATGCTTCACAACATTGCTTGGTCTTCCTTATGACCTGAGTCATTTAGAAATTAGCTGTTGAAAGGTTTAGAGAACATTTTATAGCAATGATAAAAAGTAAAGATAAGTTGGACACATGTTAATTTTTTAAAACTACTTTGAGGAGGCCCTTTATCAGAGTGAAGTCCATATAGTATTTTGGCATTTTGCTGGTCTGCACAGTTTGTTATTTGTAGGCATTGGTTGGTTATGTGCAACTGATAGCACTGATAGTAGGCTGTCTTTCTCTTAGACTTAAAAAAAAATTTTTTTAACAGTTGTTATAGCCTGCATGCTTAGACCTGCCAGTGGCATAATCCACAGGCATTGTTCATATCCTATCCCAGTTCCTCAAATTCAGGTGTCAGAGCAGACAGCATTGTCATTCTGGCCATTCCCATTATGATTAGTTTATTAATTAGATTCACCTGTGCTAATTTTCTTGCATAGGGTTTTTAATTTAGTTCTCTTGCTTAGTTACTGTGGAGGTGAAGCAAACAAGTGTAAAAATTTGACTGCGATCATGATTCTTATTAAAATTAAGAGTATATTCCCAGTTGAAATAATATGAAGTGAATTATAGCCAATTTTTTTTTCTTTCTTTCTTTTTTTGGCCCTTCACCTTGGTGTTGTAACACGACACTAACCAATTGAGCTAACCATTTAGCCCTATAGTCAACCTTAGAACATAGTAAGAATAGGACTTAAAGTTCTGATTACCAAGTTTTATATGAAACTGTTAAGCCAGTTTAGTGAGCACCTCTGAACTATTTCTTCCATTCCTCAATTTCTAAACCTAAATCTGCATCCATAATTTTTGAAGTTCTTAATCAACTGAAATGGTTCTCAGTTCCCTGTAAGTTTTCACATCTCCACACTGATGTCACGGTTTCTAAATATAACTCTTACCATTTGCTCCCCTCTTTAGTTGAAACTCTACAGCATTGGTTACAAAGCTCTTTAATGTCTAGACTAGACTCAGTCTAACTCCAATCCCATTTCGTACATCTTTCCACCCAGCCACACAAACAGGTCTTCCACCGTAAATTTCTGCTTCTTGATTGCAACCATTTCTTCCTTTACTCCACTGGTTCTCAAAGTGTGAGGGCTTATTGGACTTCTTCTTTACAGTCAGACTGGAGAAATCAATATGTCTAGTTAAGTGTTATAGTAGTCAAAGTATAGTGTTCTCCTTGGGATGCTATGTTTTTTCATTTTTTGTTTTTAATTGAGGTGATGTTCACATAACATAAAATTAACCGTTTTAAAGTATACAATTCAGTGGTATTAAGTGTGCTCAGAATGTTGTAAAACTACCATATCTTTCTAGTTACAAAACTTTTTCATCGCCCCATAAAAAACACCCTGTACCCATTAAGTAATCAGTCCCATTTCCCCCTCCTGACAACCCCTGGTAACCTCTAATCTGCTTTCTGTTTCTCTGGAGTTGCCTATTCTGGATATATCATATAAAAGGAATCATACAGTATGTGATCTTTGTGTCTGCCTTCTTTCACTTAGCATGATGTTTTCAAGGCTTATTGAAATTATATTATGTGATAATACTTTGTTTCTTTTTATGTTTGAATAATACTCCATTATATGTATATACCACAATATATTCATTCATCCCTTGATGGACATTTGGGTTGTTTCCACCTTTTGGATATTATGAATAATGCTGCTATAAACATTCATGTACAAATTTCTGTGTGGACATATGTTTTCATTTATCTTGGGTATATACCTAGGAGTAGAAAATAAGCTCCTCTTTTTTAGAATTACATTCAGAGCCTTAGTACAGTCAGTAATAGCAGATTGTATCTCTTGTGTTAGATTTGATTTCCTTTTTAAATAATCAAATCATTGGAAGAAAAGTTTTGTGAATCAATTAGGTGATGAAGTTGGTTAATACCAATTTTATTTTCAAAGATAATAGAGGACTATTCATGGCTATTCAGCATTATGATCTTGTGTGGCTAATAAACAACTGATTCTAAAATATTCTAAAGGAGAAAGGTAATATATTTTGAGCGATGTTAGTAACACTTACGTAAATGTAGAGTAGTATCACAGCTTAAGTATATTCTAAGCAAAGTCTCATTTGAATGTTCAATATTATAGTTGCTTTTTTCAAAATTATTTGGTAGTCTTTTATAAGGATGTATTGCTTTATGCAAATCTACTTTTTTTTTTTTTTTGTCCTTTTTTGTGACCAGTAAGGGGATCGCAACCCTTGGCTTGTTGTTGCCCACACCGCGCTCAGCCAGTGAGCACACCGACCAGCGCCGCACTCTCCCAAGTGAGCCACGGGGTCGGCCCGCAAATCTACTTTCACTTAACAAATATTTCTAATTTAATGTTAGATTTTAAACTTTCCACTAAATATAAATTCTTTTCATGAAATTTATAAGAAATTAATACAACTCATCAATTAATACATGATTAAATATATACTTTTAAAATTCACAGCAACCATCTTTGTTATTTTTCTATTGCTGTATAACAGAATACCACAAACTTAGTGGCTTAAAACAACATATATTTATTATCTCAGCAGTCCAGGCATGGCTAAGCTGGGACCTCTACAGGGCTCTAATCAAGGTAGTAGCCAGAATTGAGTCCTTACCTGGAGGACTGACTGGGGAAGGGTCTGCTTCCCAGCTCATTTTGTTGCATTCATGAGATTGAGTGCCCTGGCTTCTCCCTTGGCTGGAGGTCGCCCTCAGCTCCTTGTCATGTGGGCCTCCTAATGTGGCTCCTTACTTCTTCCAAGCCAGCAGGAAAGTCTCTAGCACCACTATTCTAGCAACATAGAGTCTTATATAAAGTAGCATAGTCATGGAAGTGACATCCGATCACCTTCAACATATTCTCTTAAACACAAGTCACAGGTCCTATCCATACTCCAGAGGAGGAGCCTGGACAACAGTGTGACTCTCAAGGGCAAGGTTCTTGGGAAGCCACCTTAAGAGTCTGCCCATCACACCACTAATAAGGCAAATCCTAAACTTTTTTTTTCTCTCTAATCTCTTGGGGTTTTTTGTTCTATGTTTAAAAAAAATTGAATTGGCAGATTATAATTATTAAAAGCTTACTGTCTTTTTGCATAGAGATTAAAACACTTTCAACCTTTTATGAAACAAAAATAAGCTGCTTTTCTTTCAGACCGAAATTTGGAGAGCAACGACTGATCCTTAAAATCGCCTCCATCAATAGTAGGATTTTTGGCTGGCACGTTAGCTCAGTTGGTTAAAGTGCTGCCTTGTAAACAGCAGGGTCAAGGGTTTGGATCCCTGTACTGGCCAGCTGCCAAAAAAAAAAAAAAAAAAGGATTTTCTATTTACTATTTTCTTGATATGGTTTTTAGAAAAATACTGTCTCAGGAACCAAGTTAAAGGTTTAAATAATTCTCCCTAATACCCCAAAATAAGAAGAGCAATTGGGCCGACCTGTGGCTCACTCGGGAGAGTGTGGTGCTGATAACACTAAGGCCATGGGTTCAGATCCTATATAGGGATGGCTGGTTCACTCACTGGCTGAGCATGGTGCTGACAACACCAAGCCCAGGGTTGAGATCCCATTACTGGCCATCTTTAAAAAAAAAAAAAAAAAAAGAAGAGCAATAGACAACATATACAGTTCCAGAAATGCAGCTTTAGAAAAGCATTTTAGGCTTTCAGAATTATTTTTCTTCTCCTGCCAACCCTGAAAACATAGATGAACCCACAAAGAAACACATACACAAACACATGCAAGCACAGTTAAACCAGGTAAAATTACACAATTGCTTCTAAAAAAATCATGGTAATAGTAGTATTCAATTTTTACAGTAGCAGAACTTGAAAATATATTATTTTATTCTGAAACATTCTATTATTGTTATGATTATTACTTTCAGCACCTAATAATCACAAGCAATTTTGTTGTTTTTTAAAATTTGTTTAAAAACTATTAAACTATGTTTGGGGCTTGCTTATCTAGGTATCAGCAAACACAGAAGATTCTTCTATGAGTGGCTACTTGTACAGATCAAAGGGCAATAAAAAACCTTGGAAACACTTGTGGTTTGTCATAAAAAATAAAGTATTATATACATATGCTGCAAGTGAGGTAAGATCTGAAATCTACAGATGAATAATTTGGGAATCTTGTTTTGTAATGCCAACTGGAAATAATTATAGTATTTTAAAAACCTGTTTGTTTTGCAAGGGTTCTTTTGCTTTGCTTTTGGAGGGCGGAGGTGTTGTTGCTGTTAATATGAACAGTGTTCTTGCTTTGTACCTGGAGAGCTCTTACTCAGATGTGTTAGGAATTTTCCATAGTATTCACATGCAGGAAATTTTGGTGATATGTAATTACATATGATATGTGACTACTAACGACTTCACTAAAGGCAAAGCTCCTTATCCTTTCTGCAAAGCTCTCTTTGGTGACACTCCCTTGACTATCCTCAGATTTCTGGCTGCTTACTCTAATTCTATCCTTTTCTGCTATCTGATCACCCTGTCTTATGAAAACCACTGCTCTAGGGTCCATGCTTTTCCTCACTACTTAGTGGGATCTGGGTAAGTCACCACTTAGCTTTCTGAGGTATGTTTTCTGCGTCCATAAAATGAAAGTAATATAATCACCTACCTTCCTTGGTTGTAGTAAAAATAATGTGAAATTCAATGGATGCAAGCATGTTGAAAACTGTCTAGCACCGTGTCTGGCACATAGAGTAGATGGGGAGGAGGTGGCTCAATAAATATTGTTGAAAAATGATTAAGTTGTTAGGATTGTTGTTTTATATGTGTGTACATGAAATTAAATGAGAACTATATAGATCAAGAATTCTCAAACCAGAATTTTGTCTCAATCTAAAAACCTATCTCCATTTGTATGTTTTTAAATTAGGATGTGGCAGCTTTGGAGAGTCAACCTTTATTAGGATTCACTGTTACTCAAGTCAAAGATGAGAATTCAGAATCTAAAGTATTTCAGTTACTGCACAAAAACATGCTATTTTATGTATTCAAAGCAGATGATGCTCACTCAGCTCAGAAGTAAGTAATTTAGACATATTTTTCTTTCATACATGAGAATTCAAGTTTTTATTTTAAATGATTGGTTTTAAAATTACCTTCTTTTAAGGCATGGGACAACTCAGAATTTAAACCAGAGATCTAAATTAGGATGACCTAACATATTCAAAGTCTTCAGAATTGTTTTCAAGAGAAGGCAAGGAAGGGTATCTGGAATATTTTCAGGAGGCAAAGGGGAAAAGAAAATAGGTAGTCCTGTCCAGAGTATTTGTCGACACATGACCTCAGAGGAAGCAGCGTGATGCTGCTCTGCTGAAGGGAAGGGAAGGAAGATGAGACATTTGACCTCTCTTTCAGTGAGGGCAAGAATCTTCCCTTGAAACATTCCAGGACTTTGGCAATCCAATGGTTCAATTGTGCCATGGAACAGCAAGAGTTTAAACAGCTGCTTGCTAACTTAGTTCTTTGGGAAAAAGGTCAAACACATTAAGAGGCTCCCATGCTGTTCCCAGTGACTGAGTAGAAGGAAATGGATACGACTTTAGATGGTAAAGGCTGAAACAGTCTATTCAAAATTCCAACAAGAATCTTTATTTAGATGTTATGAGGTTGCGTAACATAGAAATGCATATCTCTGTGAAATCAAGATCTCTTCTGAACAAAATAGGTCAGTTCACCTCTCTCTCATTTGATTTTTTCTTTGGCCTCATAAAATATATATTTTTGTTTTCAGTAAGAGGTGCTCATGTTTTCTCAATGGGCTTATATCCAGTGGACTTGATGAAGGTGAAAAAGAATGCTTTGAGTAAGCAAGCCTTGGGGTTTCTTAGGGAAGTTAGCCTTAAAGTACCAGAATTACATATGTTCCTGAATACCAACCAGGTACAATGTTACACTCTATAAGACTTTGGTTTTTTTTTTCTAGGATATTTTAGGATATCCAGCAGTGTATAGCTGTTCTTCCAAATAATTACTTTTGGATACTAAAGAATATTTTTTTTTTGTCTCAACTTTTTTTTTTCTTGTAAAAATTACTTAGACAAAATGGTAATTGCCCTAAGACAGATATTATCTTTCTCATAATTTTCATCTGTTTTCATCACCAAACTGATAAAAATTGCTTTTCAATATATATCATCCTTTGCTTATATCTTCAAGTTGACAAGATGGAAATGCCATCAGGAGAGAATTAAGTATAATTGGGTGACAGAAATCAGCTTACTTATAATTTAGAATTGATCCAGGCTAAATTATGTTTCTCTTTGAGGCTATTAATATCATATGGGTTTCTTTTGTTGTACATGACAGAATATTAAAATGTGTTAATGTTAGCGGAAAATTTGGGGGCTTTTTAACAGCTTGCTATCATGGTATAACATATGCTATTTGCATTCAAAATTTAAATGTTTGAGAAAACTCTGTTCTTGATGTTTGACCTGAATCTGTTACAGGCTGATTTTACTAATTAAATTGAGTGATTTCAAATGTTCATATTTCCCTAGACTCTTTTCTTTTTCTTTCTTTTTTTCTTTTTTTTTTTTCTTTTTGGCAGCTGGCTGGTACAGGAATCCAAACCCTTGACCTTGGTGTTACTTATCTCTTTTCTTTACATAAAATACTACTGTAAGAAATTACATTTCAGTCAGAAAAGGAAAAAAATTAAGTTCAGAAGCAATTACACTACTAGGGAGGAAAAAGAGACTACCCCCCGTGTCTTCTGAATAATCGCAGCTGTGTATACTGTCAGATAAAACTTTATTTTGAGACTAAATAATTTTGGAAAGACTTCTATGAAACTTTGAGAAGCTTTTGTATTGCATGCAAAATTTTGATCAACTGGGAGTGGACTAGATGCTAGATTCCTTTTAATGGAAAATATTAGAACAGGTCTGGAGTAGGGAGTATACAAGGAAACTTTAGTTGGTAGAGTTAAGGGAGTAGGAGACAGGGACAGAGCTAGTGTTCCTAAAAGCACTGAGTCAGAATACCAGGTAAGGGAAAAAAGGAGTTGTAATAAAGGGCTCTGCTGATATATTTACTTCCAAAACCCATTAAATGGGAGCGTCAGGACTTCATAAAACTTTTATACATGAAATGGTCCCTTCCTCATGCCTCAGAAATAAGAGACACAATTTGCAAATTACCAAATACAGGGTAGTTCCACATATACAGAATTCCAGTTTGCTACAGGAAAGGTCTGAAATATGCTGTCAGGGTATCAGGTCCACAGGCCCAGCTGTTATCTGTATTGTATTCACATATATCAGATGATTGGATTTTACAAATCTAACAGATTTCTCTCATCGATAGGTGGATGGAAGCATTTCAGGAAGGCACAATATTGTAGCAGTACTGGTTTCTTCTCTTCTGTGATTCTAAGGAGGTGGGATTTCATCAGAATGGAGTAAATGCAATTCAAAAAATTTTATAAAAATTAACACTGCCACGATAAATCCAACCAAACTCTTCATCAGATATAAGAAATTATTTTGTTAGGTATAAGAACTTTTTTAAAATGTTTTTTTCAATGTATGTTATTTATTAAAATTTTGATGTTTACTTAATGGTCAGAATTATTTCTGAGACTCACACTGAATTCTAAAGTACCGTTTCTTTAGAGACCAGACAACTTATCTTAATACTGTATACTGAATTAACTGTTTATGACACAGTCTACACTGTTTCTCTACCTTACATTGTAATATTCTCACTAGTGATAAATCTTTTTAAGTAAAAAACACATATCAAGGAGCAAATTTCTATGTGGTGCTTGGTTTTGAAATTATGATTATTATAAAACTGCTGATAAAAAAACGCATGTCTTTGAGTCAGTAAATTTAGATGAATTTTTGTCTCTTTAATGGAAAAACATATGGCCAGCTTCTACCTCAGTAACTGTGAAATGAAATTCTAGCAAATAATCTTAAGGATTTCTACTGTTATTTACCTCTTTTGGCATGAGTTTATATTCCATCAAAGAATTATAAGCAAAAATCTGAATTTTTGTTAACTGTGAGTAGGAATGAGGGTATTTTCATTTGCAGAGGGACAGACACAAATAATCAACTATAGGCTTTTCAATAAGTCTAAGCTTTTTTTTACAGCTATAATTCAACAAAAACATTTTTTAAAAAAATTTTTAACAGCAAAATATGACAAGCATTGTATTATGAAATATCCCCTGCTACTGTAAAAGTTCTGAGCCCAAGTCAGTGGTGGTATTTGTATCTAAAATGAATGTTACATTTCCTATAATATTGTGTTTTTTAAAATGAACTGGAATTACCATATCAGAAAAGCACAAATTCTAAGCTGTATTAGAAATTGTGTAGTGTTCATTTTCTAAAGGTCTTTAACATTTTGGGATATGTCCTCCCTGGTAATTAAAAAAAAAAACAAAACTTTTTTAAACCACTGTCAATGCACTTCATTAGGAAAGATTTATAATCATAATTCTGGTGCAGTTATTGTTTAACATATGAACTACTACCTTGTACATAGAATTGTTGATTAGCTGAAGAAAAATGAAATTAACACTGTGATTAAAGTCATTCCTGGTGTTCATAACATACATTTTACTGACATGAGTTTCAACTATAAATTATCTTAAAAAGGTATGGTTATCCATAGAATATTTCATTAAAGTGTACAAGAATTTTCCTTTCTGCTTCTTTATAAAGGGTTTCCTAATTCAGTAGCCCAAGAGAGTTACTGAGTGCCTTAGCGAAGCCTTTTGAATGCTCTTTGCTGCAGCACCAGATTTCCTACTAGATCTAGAGTTGGCTGCTATAGTTATTTCTGGCTATTTCTTGCTATGGAATAATTTCAAACTGTTGCAGCCTCACATGCAATCCTCCTATGCTGGCTCCCAAATCTTTCTTCACCACAGGTAAACTAATATTTCTTTGCAGCTTGCTTTATTTTAATCAAGATTGCATAAATAAGGTTTCCATGTTAAAATCTCTGCAGTTTTTAGCATATCCTTTTTGGAGGCCAAGGTTATGCCTTAGAAAATGTTTCCTTCTGCTGCAGTAAATCTGGCATTTAACAAGACATCAAGTTATTTGGGGTTCTTCCCCCTCATCTTGAACTCTAAGCTTTCTGACTACAAGGTTTGGCCTAGGCCCCAGAATTGAAAAAAATAACAGCCAGGCTATTCTATCTTGCAACATCTGGCTGAATCAAGAACCAGTTCTAAATCTAAAGAGAGAGAGAAAAGAAACCTGGCACAAACTTAGTTACTCCCCTTAATTACATGTGAAACTCATGTATGATTGTATTAGCTATTGGCTTAACCTCATGGAAGGCTTTGGGAAGTATATAATATAGCCTTTTGAAGAAAATATCAAATTATCCTTCTCAGATAAAGATGTTTTAAATATGGAATAGTATTACATTCCTTAAACCACTTATTAGTCCTTCATAAGTAAAGCTGATCAAATGTTACTTATTTAATCTGGCTCATTCAATGTCAACTGAGAACCTAATTATATATGATTTGTTGTAAAACTACTTTAAAAATATCTGATAGCTACCATTTTAGAGGGAAAAAAATGATATTCGACGCAGTCTATAAGTGGGGAGAAAGTATAAACAGTATGTAGATCCCAGGAATACTATATTTATTACATGTATACATGTGCTTCTGTCAAACCCTTTTTCAGGTGTCTCCTTTTATTCATGAAGAGGAGAGAGAAGCAGTTATAAGGCTAAGCTAAAAAGGGTGCAGAAAGTCACCTAGACGAGAGATCCCAGTCTGAACTAGGGGAGGGCTGGTTTTCTTAGCCAGTGTCCCCCATCCAGTGCTCTTCCTTTATCTGTGGCAGCTGTAAATTTAGAGGACCCACCAGAGTCCTAAGAAAATGAGAAAGGTCATCTTTGGCCTCATCCCACGTTTCTGAACCTCTTTCCAACTTCTTTTCCTCTGTTCTCTGATGTACTCAGCACCTTCCTCCTATTGTCCTTTATCTTCCAAAGATACTTAATTCTCTCTTCTTTAACCAAAAGCTTGATTCTTTGAGTAGTTACTAGCATTTCTTTAAATGAGATCATCAGACCAACCCTTGATTCATGCAAAGCTGTGTGAAACAACTACGTGAGGATGAAATTTTACAGATAGATGCTCCTTGACTTATGATTGGGTTACGTCATGATAAACCCATCTTAAGTTGAAAATATCAACTTTCAACTTCATATTTTCAGTGTAGGATGTGTTTATCAGGATGTAACCCCATCATAAGTCGAGCCTACTGAATGCATATTGCTTTTGTACCATCGTGTAAAGACACCATTGTAAAGTCAAAAACTCCTAAGTTGAACCATCATTAGCTGAAACCATCTGTATAGTTTTGTTAACCAAATGTATATTTTATATTTAGTTGGTAGAATATATCTAGAAATAGGGACAGCCTCCTATTTGGTAGCTTGGTACATTTTATCACAGCATATTTTGATATATCTTGGAGTGTGCTTCCATTATACTCAGTTTTTGAAAAGTTGGAGATCCATTGTGATCAAATGTAGTCACTAGGATTTCCAAAGAGGTAAATCCTGTTTCTTTTATTGTACTGTACACTCCTTGAAGGCAGATACTGTATTATATCAGTTTCTCCCATGGTACGTGGGTCTTTTAAGAGAAAATATTTGTTCAATTGAATAGAAGGTGAGAACAGGCATCTTGTTATCTACACCTCAAACACAGCCCCAAAATGCCTTCATTATAACTCAGATCTTAGACCTACTCTTTCCACTATCCTGCTAGGGCACATTTGGAACTACCTGTTGGATATACATGAGTCCTCAAACATTTTAAACTTTACGTGACTAAAACTCAACTCGCTTTTTCCCCCTTCAAATCTATTTATTCTCTTCTGTAATAGAAAGACACCATTCCAAGTCTCCAGAATCAGCCTCCCAGTCCCAACAACTCTCTGCAATTTCTCTTGTATCCTTCCATCCTCCCCCTGCTGGTGTTACTGCATAGCCCTGGCTCAGGAACGTCTTACCTCTTCCTAATGACTGCAATAACTTTTCTTCTAATTTCATTGCCTTCATTGTGAAGTTTCATTTCAAACATTGCCAGAGCAATCTTCCTAAAGCATAGTTCCAATTTAATTTCATCTCTGCTCTTACAACCTTCAGTGGCTTTTCCAATGGCTTGGTGTGGAACACTCCTTCAGGTATCACACACTCCAGCTAACCCTAACACAACTGACCTCTGTTCACACTGTCTCCTTTTTTTTTTCGAGGGAACACCACCCCCATAGGCCACCCCATCTCTGCCTATTGACCCAAGACGTTTCTGTGACAGTTGATCTAGTCCTTCTTTCCCCTATTCCTTCAGACTAGATTGTTTCAATAGCGTTTAGTTCATAAACAAACTTTCATATAGTGCTATCACATTCTGTCCTTGAGAACAACTAATCTTGTTCATTTGAGAGTCCCCCACCGCATCTGCCAGAACGCTTCACATGCAGTGGGTTGTTTGCTGAACTAAATTCTTTCATGTGGATCCTTCTGATTTTTTTTTGTGTGTGTGTAACTGCCTCTAATATACATATCATTCTCAAGCCAATGCCACTTCTAATGTCATTTTCTAAAGGGAAATCTTATTTTACTTTTTCCCCTATAAGGAAAGAGCTAAATAGTTCCGAGTAGGATTTCTTAAAAATAAAGGTAATAGGAAATTTTCAAAAAGCCTAAATATCAAATTCCTTTTCCTTTCGGCTAGGGGGAAGGGATGAAGTAAGGGAACTTTCTCTTTTATGAGTTGATCATAGGATATAAGAACCAATCTTGAAATACTCTTTTAATGACTTGTATTTCTAGAAACACTTTTTACTTAAGGTGGTAATAGTTTGTATCTTATTGTCCATATAAAGAGACAGATCCTTTACAGATAAAAAATTAGCATTGTAAATAATGTTAATATGTATTATATTTATATAAAATAAATTTACTATAACATCTACTGTTGTGTGATGTCTTTTAAACCATACCTTTTTTTAGAGTCACATTTAAAGATGAACCTCACTGACTCCTCCTGAAGCATAATTAAGGGAGATTCTTCTTCACCCACAAATGATATTCCCAAAATGGCTTCTACTTCCAAGTTTTACTAAGACTATTGGGATTCAAGTGAATTAACTGAATGATAAGGGGTAAACACAAGCATTGCTGTAGGCATGCACAGTATGCATTGAGAATAGAGACAAGGTCTCAGATTGCCTTTTTCCATTGGACAGTGTACTTTTACAGCTTTCACCTTTGGAACCAGATTAAGGATATGGGGGAAAGGGAGGTGAGGGACTGCCTTAGAAACAAACCAGGGTTGGCTAGTTAGCTCAGTTGATTGGAGTGTGGTGTTACAACACCAAGGTCAATGGTTCAGATCCATATAACTGGCTAGCTGCCCCCCCAAAAAATTAAATAAACAACAATCCAAACACACAACAAATAATGCAAAAAGGTAGAGGTGGACTTTTACAGGGAGAATGAGACATAAAGCATATTTCTATTTGTTGGGGAATGTTGTGTGCCCTTCTTTGTCTAGCTGCCTAGTTCCAGAAGGAAATGGCAGAGATTTTCTTGTTCCCAGTACACATTTTTCCTAATTGAATCCTTAGCTGCTTTTCTACACTGCTGGACACAATAAAAATTTCAAGGACCCCTTTTAAAGACTAAATTCACAGTACTTTGCACGCAGGGCAGTTCTACCTGCCACACCTCACTGCCACAAGTGGCCACTGTGAGAAAATGATGTCCCATCAGTGCCCTTTCATTTCACAGATCTTTATTGACCAGCAGGCATTGTCCTGTGTGCTTGGGAATACACCACTGAACAAAACAGACCAAAACCAGCCTTGGGGGAACTTTATTTTTGCTCCATTTAAGCCATTTGGTTTTACTCATCTACTACTGTAAGCCATTAGTTACAATAGTTGATAAGTAAAAGCTTGCCTTACTATGTATAATTCTATTTCAGCTATCGTTATAGTTAAGGGAAATTTAAATATCTAATTAGAATCTACCTAGACTGTGAGTTCTCTAATAAACTTTAGATTCTAAGAGAGCCTGTAACAGAGCCCAGTTTTCCAGAATTAGAAGCTGAACTAGCTTAGGCCATTAGGTTACTTATTATTACTTAAATCTGAAACGCTGGCTCAAAACTTCCTTTAACGACCACCTCTGGCAAACATGGTGTCAAACGCGTGGCTTCTAGAAGTACTTGATCGGGAAGCGCAGCTCTGGCGGCGTAGTCCCCCTCCGAGCCGAAAGGGGGCGGTCGACTTTCACTGCCGCGGCTCGGCTCCCTGGTCCCTCCACTCCACGGAGGGAACGTTACGACCTCCTCGCCGCTTCTCAACATCGCTGATGCGCAGGCGTGGGGTGGGGGTGCGCGAACCGCCGAGCCGAGGGAGGGGTCACGAACTCTGACCCCCCTACCAAATACACAAACCCGGAAACTCCCTCCCCCCATCCCCTATCTCCCTCCCTTCAGCTTTCTTCAGCTTCTCCTCCCGGAGAGCGCCCCCAACCAGCAGCCGCCGCAGCGGGCCTGTCGGGGTCGGCGCCCGACGCTGGAGTTAGCGCGGCAGGGAGGTGCCGGTAAGAAGTACCCGGTGGGGAGACAAGCCGCCGAGGCGGGGGTGTCTCTTCATCCCAACGGTCAACGGACACAGCCCCAGTGCGCTCCCACAGCCTATGGGCTTGGGCCGGCCTGGCCCGTCCGCCCGGTAGTGCGCGGTGGGAGGCTGGGGCTGGGCTGGGAGCGCAGAGAGTGGCCTGAGTGGCGGGGCCCCGGGAGCGGCGGGGCGCGGGGACAGCCGGCAAGCGGCCGGGTGCGCACAACCGCCTCTCCCGCGGTGCCTCTGACCTTTCACCTACAGGAAAAGCTTCCGTCTCGGCGCCGCCGCCGCTTCCCCCGCCCCCGGGAGCCGTGCGCCGCGGTCGGGCCCTGAGGGCCGCAGGCCGCGCGTGAGAGGCCGACCCGAGGGGCCCCGGGGCGGAGGCCTGAGCTCCCTGCTCCCGGGGCGATTGCAAATTCTCCTGCTTACCCTGGACGACCATAATGCCCTCCACTTTCACTTTTCTTTTTAACACCACAACGGGCGAGGAGTATCCGCTGCCTTTGGACGTGTATCTGGAGGAAAAACAAATGGAACGGCCCTAGGTCCTCAGTGCACTGGGAATGCCCAACCTTCCAGTAGCTCTTTTGTTAAGAACCCTGCCTGCAACGCGTGCAAATATCATTTTATCAAATGCAGATGTTGCCAAATTATCCCGTAACCTTCAGTAAAACAAACTGTAAAAAAAAAAAAAAAAAAAAAAAAAGTAACTAGAAAAAAAAGGAAATTAAGGTTTGTGTCCCTGGGAGTTGTAAATAGACCTTCAACTTTGAGGTTTTTTAACAATGCTGTGTGTTTGATTGATACACGATGTTTACACGATGTTTTTAAGTTTTGTTTATGTCTAATTGGTAGATCTGAAAAAGATATTTCTATTTATTATTTAAAAGTGGGTCACGTGACAGATAACTAACTTCATTATTCTTTGTAGGAGCATTTCAAACTCTCAATAAGGATTTTGAGAGAGACACAAATTAATGGCAGCAAACGTTCCCGAAATATCTATCTTTTGTATGTCTGCCACACAAAGTGTATAATTCGTAACCTTCGGGAATAAAAAAGGGAAAAGAGACAGCATACAGTAAATAATTAATAGTTTAAGTATAATTCCCTGCCTTTTTCGAGTCACAAGACACTCTGCAGCCTCTTAATATCTTTTATGAACCCTCAGAAAAATGCACCTCTACATTAAATTTTGCATACAAAATTAGGAATTAACAAAAGTCTGTTCCTGAATCTACTACTGTGTAACCTCAGTATATACAGTAAATGCTGGACCCACCTAAAAAGATTGGGTAAGAAACTGTTTGAACTGAGTCTTAAGAGTCAGGTGGAATTTAAATGAGGTGGGAGGAGATTGGAATGGTATATTGGGTGTATTCGTCTGTTTCTGTTGTTTATAACAAAAATACCTAAAATGTTTTGCTTACAGTTTCAGAGGCTGGGAAGTCTGCAGTGCAGGGAACACATCTGGTGAGGGTCTTGGTGGCAGCAGTGACCAAGGGGTCTCACATGGCAGAAATGGTGGAGCAGAGAAAGAAAGTCTTATGTGCTCTCCTTTTAAATCCCTCATAACCATGCTGCTGACCACCACTTTTAATCCATTCACTATAGCATGGTTCTGCAATCTAATCTACCTCTTCAAGGCCCCACCTTTCAATTACCATTATAGGATTTCCCACCCTCAAGAGTTACAGTGAGAATGAAGCTTCTAACATATGAACTTGTGGGGACACAATTCAATCAATCCACAACATTGGGGAATAAAGAGCATCCCAGTTTAACCTGAACAGAGGGCCCCTCTTGGGAGAAATAGGAGAGAAAATGAAAAAATGGGAAGTCAGATTATAAAGGAACTCTCCATTGTGTCCACAGTGCCAGGCACTTTGTGGATGATTAGTAAATACTGAACTAATACCAGGAGAAGGGGTTAAAACTTTGTTCTTTGGCCTTTAAAGAGACATTGATGGTCTGAAGCAGGAAATATGGAGGTGATTCAGTTCTATAAGCATCTTGAGAATTTACTTGTCTAAGCCCTCTACCAGGTGCAGACACAAAGATGGCTTTTGATATACACAATGTTCCATATCTTAAATACAAATTCAGGCACACCTTTGGCACCCAGGAGCACTGGGATTTCTTCCACACAAACGTTCTGGGAACAAATGATGATACAGGAAGGAGCACCTCTGTCTTTGTTCAAATGCAATGGAAGAGGTTGTGCCTTCAGAGCTCTTAGTTAATTTTTTCATCCCTTCAGTAAAACAGTTCATAGCCTGAAAAAAAAAGGAAAAGAAATATACATTCAGGAAACTCAGTTCTGGCAGTACCTGAAATTTTATCCTAAGGGGTCTTAATTTAGGGCCCTTGGACTGACAGCAGAAGCTTTTATGAACTTTTTGAAGTTTAGCATATACCATTGCTTACAGTGAGTGAACATGAACTTGTGTTTTTCTAGTGAGGGAAACCTTAACTTTTATCAGATTTTCAAGTGGACTCACCCCACCCTGCCCCCACCAAAAAAATGAGAGAATCTTTTTTTTTTTTTTTTTTTTTTTTTCAACTGGCCCGTACAGGGATCCAAACTTTTTTTTTTTTTTTTTTTAATTCTGGTTCATGATCTGCTAAATTAATTTCCCCATCCATAAGTGGCTCACAACACAATTTGCAAAATACTGCTTAGCATGGAGTATGACTGACAGCCTAGCTTGAATTACATGAGTGGGACTGGATGGGAAAGAATGTGGGGAGAGCAGATGTTGGGGAAAGGAAAAGAATTGTATCTGATATAGGCAGAGAATGAGTCAAAAAATTTTTTTTTTTTTAATTCTGGTTCATGATCTGCTAAATTAATTTCCCCATCCATAAGTGGCTCACAACACAATTTGCAAAATACTGCTTAGCATGGAGTATGACTGACAGCCTAGCTTGAATTACATGAGTGGGACTGGATGGGAAAGAATGTGGGGAGAGCAGATGTTGGGGAAAGGAAAAGAATTGTATCTGATATAGGCAGAGAATGAGTCAAAAAATAGCCTTAAATTTTTGAGTCTGGATGGGAGAAGGACGGCACCAGTGACAATACACATTTTTGCCATCTATTTCTGTGGAGATAAGATCAAGGTAAACATGCAAAAGGAGATCAGGGCTAATAATGTAGCACTGTGTCTTGTGCATGTTGATTAGCTCTAGGAAGGACAGCATCCTTGTGCTGTTTGCTTTGCCCCTCAGGCTGGTAAAAATACTACTTATCCATCAGTGACTAACATGTCTCTTCCATGAGGTTTTCTTAGACCTCTTGCAGTGATTCCTCTTCTAAACTCCTGTTCATTTATTGAGCACTTTGTTAATTCAGCTAATATTTGTGGAATAACTCTTACCTATAAGAGACTGGTATTTTCACTTACATTGAGTCTTTACAGCAACCTTTTGAAATAGATTGTATTGAATTTATTTTATTTGTGAGGAAACTGAGTGACTGACATATAGTTACACACCTAGTAAGTAGTAAAAATGGGTTTGGAACTCTGACTTACAATTTGAAGTCTAGGACACTGTCTACCACCTGTATAAGTTCCCTACCGCCATTTTTCTCTATCACCCCTTCCTAGTTTCATAGAATTAAGCACAATTATTAATTTTAAAAAATCTGCTTTCTCACTAAAATGTAAGCTCCATGAAGGAAAGACCTTTTCTGTCTTCTTCACTGTCATGTCTCCAAAGTCTAGCAGTGCCTGCTGATAAATAAGTTTCAGTAAATACTCTGAGTTAAGGTAAGAATAATAGGCACTAGAGGTTCATTGAAAAAAATTAGTTCATTGGAAAAGTACACAGTTCTTTTTCTCACAAATCTTATAATGGAAGATGGGCATCTGTGCAAATAAGTTCAGGGAAGTGGCAGGGTACTTTAGAAGATGAGGTGGTGTTCTAGTCTAGTTTTGTGTTGCTCTAATGGAATACCTGGAACTGGGTAATATATAAAGAAAATGAAACGTTGCTTACAGTTTCTGGGGCTGGGAGGTCTAAAGACCATCTGGTGGAGGTGACAGGGACCCAGGGGTCTCACATTGCAAGATGGTGGGAGCAGAGAGAGAGACAGACTCTCCTCTTCTTTTAAAGCCCTCAGAACCAGGCCCCTGACCATTTTAAATCTATTCACTACTGCATGGTCCTACAATCCAATCACCTCTTCAAGGCTACACCTTCCAATTACCATAATAGGATTTCTCCACCCTGTTAACAATCACAGTGGGGGTCTAAGTTTCTAATACATAAAGCTTGGGGAACACAATTCAAGCTTCAATGAGTTTTGGGGGGACATAATTGAATCCACTACAGGTGAGTACAAGATACAGTGAGCTACAGATGAAGGATAGCCTTATTTTCTGATTACAATTGTAAGTACTCATTCAAAAAGCATAAAGATAAAAATAAGTGGCCCCTCATTCTTTACCTAGAAAAATCACAGTTAATGTTTGTAAAGTGTTTACTTTTAGTCCTTGCATGTTTTTGCATAGTTAAAACCATGTTGTAATTAAAATTTTGTTTCTCGCTTTTTACATTTAGTTTGTCATAGGTATTTTCTCTTAATCATTGTACATTTTGCTATAACTGTTCATGATTTTAACTAACGTAATACCATGATCTACTTAAAATTCTCCTACTATTGTTTGTTTCTATATTTTTGTTCTTATAAATGATGTTGCAGATAGTATTTTTCTGCACAAATTTTTGTCCTAAAGAAAAAAATTTGGAAATGAAGCTTTTCTTCTAGATACCTGGATGGCCTACTTCCTCACCTCCTTCAGGTCTTGGCTAAAATGTTACCTTCTTGGGGAGGCCATCTCTGACCTCTTATTAAAAATTGCAAACTATTCCCCTCCCTCAGCATTTTCTGTTACTAATTCCTGTTCTATTTTTCTTCATTCCACTTTTTACCATTTATTGATATATTTTACTTATTTATATGTTTTCTGTTTCACCCACCAAAATACAGACTTCACAAGGGGAAAGTGTGTTTGTTTCAATACTTTCTGCTGTATCCCCCTCACCTAGAAAAACACTCAACAAATATTTATTTAATGGAAAAGTATTGAATAAATTATTGGGTCAATGAGTTGAACATTTTTTAGGCTCTTAATACACACTGGCAAATTACTTTTCTAGGAAGGTTGTAACAGCTTAGCTTTCTACCAACAGTGTGTAAAGAATGCCTGTTTTGCCTCATCTTTGGAGTTAAATTTAGTCTTGGAAAATATGTATTAATTTAGTGATTCTCTGCCATTCATGTTAGAGAACTATTGACAAAGACATGGAAGCATGAACAACATGGTAAATTCAAGGAATTACAAATAATGTATGTAGTTAGAATGTAAGGTTTAACAAGTGACACCTCAAATCCTATAGATAAAGTGAAGGCTTTGAAGAATATTAAGAGGAAAAGTAATATTAAATCTGTATGTTAAAAGAATCTGGCTGCAAAATATTAAAGTAGCAACTAGGTAAATGGTATTAGACAAGAAACTTGGGACTAGAATGGTTATAGTTTGGACTGTCCTTGTGGTCACAAGTCACGCATGTTGATGGCAGGAAAGGGACATCACTCTGTCAAAATTCTCAATGAGTGATGGTACTGGAATAGAAGTTACTGAATGACAAAGCCATTAG